CCTCAGGCCAGTGTTTAAGTCAGGGTTTTGCCATTGGAAAATTAAGCAATACTTAGATTTTGCTCTCACTTTACTCCCCAAGGATGTGATTGTCATGATATTTCATTCCTCGTTGCACCAGAGCAGAGTCATTTCCCCCCCCTGCCTATCAGGAATTCCTAAAGCTACAATCACTGTCATCATCACGGGTCAGTTAAGTCTTATGTATTCATTTACATAGATTCTAGTTCTAGGAAACCCCTTCTTAGACCGTGCCAAACGAGGCCGAGGCCGGGCGAGTTCCCATTGATCCAGGTTCAATTAACAGGCTTTTATATCCACTTCATCACGTTTCCAGCTGCTGAACTATTTTGGCACTGAAGCCAGTGCATGCTTAAGGGATATCTGCTAACTGCTGAGATGGACATTAAAAAAAAAAAATTAGAAAAAGACAGCAGTTAAGCTCACCATCTGGCGTTATTCACTTTGCTCCTAGACGTTGAAACTTTAATGGGGTCTAATTTTTAAACCTCATATTTATGCCTGTGACGTCCTGATCCGACAAAACCTCCAAAAAGACTCAAACGAGAGGAGATAACAGCCGGGCTTTATTAACGAATAGTAAAAACGGAAATACGCTAGAATTAAATTCCAGCCGGTAAAAAAGTTGGCACAGCAACAATGAGAAGGTTGGACTATCACTCACACTGGTGGAAGAAAATCAGCTGTCATATAATATTTACAAGCTACAGCAGCTCAAGCTGTCAAGCTTTATTTTCCCAGAGGTCCTTGTATTGGAGTTCAGGTTTTAAGAGCCGCTCGATGCCGGCGGATGTACAGCTTTTGTGTTAAGAGACAGATGAAATCTATATGTTGCCCTGTACGACTACATTATATTGCTCAGACTTGTCTGTTAAATATTTCACACAAAGAGCAAAAAAACAAACATTTTCTCACTTGTTTTGGGCTCCTCTGGTGATGCTGTGAGATGTCTGTGTGAGATTTCTGCCTCTACTCAATTACAATCTAAGTTAATTGTTGATTATTCTTTTTTTTTTTTAATGAATAATTCATTGTTTGGTCTAAAATCAAAATGGAAAAAAGAAGACAAATACCCCAAGGTGACAACTTCAGATAGCTTCTCTTTTCTCCATCCAACAGTCCAAAACTCAAAAATATCCACTTTACTGTCACTATGAAAAATGATCTAAATGATTATTAAAATAGTTGCAAAATGTCCTATCGATCAATTAATTGATTAACAGACTTATTATTGTTTCAGCACAAAAAAAAATACAAGAGCAAAATGACAGCAAAAGTAAAAAAAGCAAAGTTTTTGGAACTAGTTTCTATCAAAACAAAATACTTCCCTCTATTGTTCTGAGGCAGACACAAAAGTATGTGGTCAAAATGGGGTCACATAAAACCAGAGAGAGAGCTATGGAGGTAAGTGAGAAAATGTGTTTTTTTTTTTTGCAATGTGAGTGAACTGACCCTTTAAGGATCAGACATGGTCATGTTGTGTGATGGGGGCTCCAGTGGCCTGGCCCAGATCTGACCAGCCTCTAGTGATAAAGGGTAAAAAAAAACTGGCCACCCAGTGTCACTCATCTGCTCTGCATTACTTAGTTGAGAACGCAACCCTCCCTCTCCCAGCGGTGCTATCCTAGTTGAGTCACACATACACCAAACAACATTTTCAAAGGGTCAGATCACCCCGAAAAAAACAAAACATTTTATCTCATTTTATTGGGACTAATTCTTGGATAGAAAGTTCTTGGGAAAACTATACACAGCTAAGTCTGTGGCTTATCCAAAGGACCAGGTGCAATGCTTTTGGATAGATTTGTTGCCGTTTTCCATTCACTTCCATTGTGTGTGGGTAGTGGCCTAGATCTCAGAGTCAGCTCTTTCTAAACATTAACAGACAAAACTGAAATAACACATACACAGACAAAAAGGAAAACAGAAGTAAAATCAATGGACACCTGTTACCCAGTTGTTTTGATTCAAAAACTGTGCAAACTTTATAGTTCATAAATAAATACATGTGAAATAAAAAGTACACTTTGGTGTAGTCAATAACTGAATGTAGCCATAATTTAACATCCTCTAGCCTATCTCACATACCCTTACCAGTATTTTCAAACTGGGGCTACTTCTGCAGTTGCCAGTGGGTACTTGGAAATAACAATAACATTTATTTAAAATATGTATATCCACATGTTGAGTAAGCTTTCTATAGTACATGTTGCAATAGAAAACAAACCTAGTTTACAAGCAAGCAGAAGTTTGCAATTAGCTTTTAGCATCTATTTAAACCATTTATCTATAACTTTAAGCTATGTATAGTGTTAACATCCAGTTAAATTCAATACAAATGAACACATTGAACAGCTGGAAAACACTCTCTTATACAATACCATGTTTTATTCACAAACCATTGCAATTTGATTATTAAAAAACAGAATAGGTCACTTTGGTAGGGAGGAAGTAAAATTCAGCAAGAGCAAGAACACCACCTCTCACCTCCATTTCAATTGTTTTCTTGGCTGTCTTTGTGAACTCTTCACTGCAATCAGATGGTAAACAAGAGTCAGAAAATTACAGATTGTTGAAGAAGTGTGCAGCTGAACAGGGGAGAGGGAAGTGACCAGGGCGAGGAGGGATTAAGATGAGACCACAGCAGCAGTGAGGGGAGAGGTGTGGACTCACCAGCAGTCTCCTTACTTTCAAGTGACTCCTCTGAACAAAGCCTGGCACTGAATTCTCCAGAAGATTATTTTTAAGATGAGCCCAGCGTGACCTCGAGAGAACAAAAGCAGATGTGAAAGTTTTAGAACTCATTGCCGTGCATGCCAAGCCACAACGGCAGTGAAACTAGTTCAGATGTTTCTTGCCAACATAAGCAATACAGGACGAAAGCAATAGAAAGGGAGGTCCTTGAGAGAGAGAGAGTGAGCGATGGGAGCTTTTTAAAAAAAAGGCCTTTCTTGAAACCTAGGTTTGGTTTTTGGCTCCCAACTGGAATAATAATAACAAAGGTTCAGAACCAGGGCAGAGTCTCAAATTAAACAGAAACAAAACAGTGGGTGTCCTCCATGCCCATATTTATTGGGGGTAACAACTGTATTCAACCCAGACTGCGATAAAGCATTAAATAGACAAACGTCAGGACCAATTTTAGGTTGGTGAAGCCTTTTTGGAGTGCAACACTCAGGGGTTTTTATACAGAATTAGGGCTGAACAGAACAGGGATAGCTTATTTTTCATTTCCTAGAAAAAGTAGATGTCGATTAGACATTGACATTACAACCCTTCTGCATCAAAATTGAAAACCTTGGTAAGTAGAAAGAGAAAATAAAAATGAGTCATCTATAGCTGCCGGCTGCATCATTTTGTGAAATCAGGAACTATGTATCTTTTTAATATGACTTTAAATGTGTTGCTGAGGCTGTGAATATAGTTGCTTCTTCAACAGTCAGTGTTTGAGTTATGAAAAACCAGTGGTAAAGGAAGTATTCAGATCCTCTACTTAAGCCTTGTATTCAAAATGAGTAAGTAAAAATACAAAATTGAGCAAAATGTACTAATTATGCAGTATTACATTTACTTTTAATTACTTTAGTGTTGGGCAGTATTATCTATAGCAATGCAACAAAGCTGATTTTTTTCATAACATAAAATAGTAATACTAATGCTAATAGGCCTACTAAAGTAGACGTATGTAGAAAATGTTGTTCAGTGCACAACTGAAACTAAAATATAACTGTATATACTGTATAACTGCAATATTATCTGATGTTCTGCTGCACATGCTCTTTTCCAACATTTTAAATTATAGTGGCCATTTTTCGCTAAGTATTATGACACCTTATAATTTGTTAATCAAGGAAATAATCATCAGTTTAATAGATAATGAAAATAATTGTAAGCTGCAACTCGTCCTCATTCAGCCACAACAATCACAATTTCTTTGTTAAAGAATTGTTTTTTCACATGGCCTTTCTCAGGAATTGCTACAACCCTGCTTTAACATTAAAATAAATCAGAAATGTAGTGGTTGAATGAGGATTGTTGCTTGAAGGCAGTCTTATTAGATGGAACGGCAACCTCACTCAGCCACGTAATCAGTCAGACCTGTTTCAATAAAGCCAAATTTAACCTCTAAATTCAATGAACAGCTACTCTAAATGGCTCACAAATGGGAGCTGTATTTTTCTTGAGGAAAATGTGTCACTATCACAAAGTGCACTGTTTTACTGAATGAAGGTCATACAGTATCCTCATCGACATGAGCAAAGCTTGTTTTGCATGCATTACACACATTCTGGAGGCAAAACGGGGTTGGCTGTTTATGTGGGCGTGGAAACAATGAAAGCAAACTGTGGAGACTGGTGTTCATACCTCACTGTACAAGGTTTTTCCTCCTTTAAATCTGTTTTTTTTCCTCTCGGTTTGAAGCTGATGTGGTGACAGAGACAACATTATAATGTATGCCTACCATGTCACTGTGTCACTCCCCCAGCCTTCGTTCTGATTATTGACCGCTGCAGAATCGCTGGGGCTTTAATTAGTGCTAGTGTAACTAATTGGCTTGCATAGAAGTGACATTGATGGGAGGCAAGAAAATGAATTAATGAGGAGAGGCACTGGCAGATTAAATGGAACTGCTAAAAAGTAAAAATGGATGTCTGATCTCCAAGTGAAATTGGCATTTACGTCGACAACAAAAAAAGTCATACACAACCAGTCATTTCCATCTGCATGTGAGTGTGTGGGTGGGTGGAGGTGGGTGTGTCTACTCTGTGGGCATTCATTAAGCGTGTGTATCTCTGTGTACATTTGTATTTATGTGTATATGCGCCCCTCTGTGTGTGCACTCTTCATCAGAGCTCACGTATAACTAGATGTTCATTTAGTTGACAGCAGAAATCTTTCAAGCGCTGGATATGCTTCGATGTAAAGTATGTTAACCTTTAAAACAAAGCCGGCCCTGGCCCCTCTCATTCTCCTGTAATTGCTTGCGCTGGGTAAGCACACTCGCCTGAAAAGGTTACTGTGTTTCTTGCCAGTTGTCATGATGAATGAGCAATCATGGCAGGAAATGAAAACTGGAAGTTTAGAAAATTTACCTCACACTAACCAGCATGTAGCATTTGCACAAAATAATGCTCTGTTGTCTGCTATCTGCAAATTATTAAAAAAGCAAGCAAACAAACAAAAAGGCAATGCAGGCAGTCAGTAAATTAACACACTCAGGAAAGAAGGATGGATTCAAGACTTGCACTGCTGCTACATCATTAATATTCACTAGAGTCTAGTACAACCTGCAAGTCTCTGCTGGCATATTCTGTTTTCTCTGGTGATGTGTCCGTGTCTGTGTGTGTGTGTGTGTGTGTCTGAGTTCATACAAATAATGATGTATGTGCACACCACGTAATTATATCCACACTAGACACATACATCTTTGTGTGTGAGTCTATAGACATAAGAGTGATAATTTGTGCAGTATGTTTGTTTTGTATATCAATAAGTCTGGTCTGCATTAGTTTTTGTGTTAGTGGGTCTGTGAACACAAAAAAATGATTATGTGTGCAGTATTTGGTCTGCATATGATTATGTGGAATGCACTGTAAATTTTGTGCTTGTGCAAACTGATGAACTGTTTGCCTTGGTGAGTCAGAATCAGTGTGCACATACGCGATCGCCTTTGTGTCTCCCTCGGTGCACAACTCCCCGTGGGCAACAGATGCAATCATCCACGTCGCATTTTGTTTGTGTTGTTGCATGTTTGTGTGCTTGCATGTGTACATCTATGTGCATGCTTCCTTGTATGTCCTGTATTTATGCCTGGAAGATCCAGCAGCCGGGGTGGTCTCAACTAGACAGTAGGCAGCATTGATAAGCTGAAGGTGGAAGGTGAATTGTGGGTGAAGGCTGTTATCGCCAGAGGCTGGCTCAGGCTTTGGCACCACTGCCTGCTGGACCCTGAAAACTCATTTTGACAGATGCATCTCCTCCCTAGCTGTCGACGCGCTGTGGGGGGCTGATGATACTCGCTCGCCCAGGCGGCTCAGTGTAGCGTTAGCCGGCACCACGTTGAGCAAACCTGCAATTTATCCTTATGCCTCAGGCATTAAGCTGAATAATGACATGCAAGAGGCAACCACCATCTCACCATGCACCAGGCCGCAGCTCATAGTTTCCACAAAGAACTTCATAGAGTATTTCCTATTCTTCACTATTTTTAGATGGTTTAATTGTGAGATGAGTTTGTGATGATTTAGGATTATTTTCTTTTTTTCTGTCATTGTGTAAAGGGAAATATGCTCATTTAATCAGCCATGTTTACTGTGAGATTGATTTATTCTGAAAATGTGTTATGCTGTACCTCAGCAACTACCGCAGGCACACATCTGGATGTGCTTTTTTTTTCAACCATAGAGATGCACTGTATACACAGTCATTTTTACAGCAGCAATCTTCCCTTCTGCCGCTGCTCTGTGCTTAACCATATTCTCTTAATCTCCCATTTTATTTTGTCAAAAAGCCACATCCCCAGAGCCTTCTGTCTTTTACGTTCCTGTCCAATCAAACATGCTACAATGCTGTCATATTGATTCAGCTTCTCCCTTTAAAAGTCAGCTTACCAAAAGTGCCATTTACCAATGTGGGTACTGCATCCACAGAATGTTCTAATTGGGGCTTTTGCATCTGGAAGAAATTACTGTGTACAAACCATAAATAAAATGATTAAGAAATAAGATTCGGTTGTCCACATAAGTAGAATAACTAGGGCTGGGCGATATGTAAGGG